CGGCCTTTACCTCTTCCTCGCTGTATGTATCGTCCTCCTCCTCTGTTTTTTCCTCGGCCTGATCCTTGTTCTTACTTCTCTTGATATGGTTGAGACTCGTTGTTGGCATACAATAGCTTGTTTGATCCTTGGTCTTCTTGTTTCTCTTCTTCTTCATCATTGATTCTTTCTTCGTAGGCCTTCATCCTCCCCACTATATCCGGAAACTTGTGTTGTTAAGATCAAGTACTTGCTCTAGGGCTGCAATGATATGAATATATCTCTTTCTCGGTAGGCTGTTTAGAAACTTCTTCACAAGCGTAGGTTCTTCGATGATTTCACCCAATGAAGATGATTTGGTTGATAATTCTGAGAGCTTCCCAACAAAATCATCTATTGAATCTGTTTCTTTCATCTTCAAACGGTTGAAATCAGCTGTTAGGGTCTGCAAACGTGCCTCCTTCACTCGATCAGCTCCCATATGTCTGGTTTTCATCGCATCCCAAACTTCCTTCGCAGTGTCGAGATTCCCAACTTGTAGTAACATAGTTTCTGGTATAGATTGGAAGAGAAGTGCTTTTGCCATACTGTTTTTCTTCTTTTCGATTATTCCCGGATCAATAGCCTCCCATACCTCATGAATCTCCAATGCTACCTTCATGCGAATCGTCCACACGGTGTAGTTATTGTCGGTAAGTAACGGGCACCGTATGGATGAAGGGCTGCCGTTCTTCGTGTTGTTAGTTGCAACTATCTCACTCATATTGAACTTGATTCAATTTGAACTCTGATACCAAATATTGAATCAAGAACTCACAATTCTTTATTAATGATTTAGAAAATATGCTCAAAACTAAAGCTCTCTCTCTCGTGATCTCTATCTATGCAACACCCTTGCATAAGATATATATATGAATCTAACTTTCCTAAACTTATTAGGAATCACAAATAGATATTTTCCTATTCTATAACTCAATAGAACTAGGTAACTTGCTTCTCAAGCTAATTCAAGTTTAGATCAACAGTTACAATACGCCAGCTTAAGAGTGAAACTTAAGTCCATTTTACCTCCCAGCTGAAGCAAAGATTGAACTCTTATTATCCCAGTAAAAATGGAGCCCACCCGTCCCATCTTTAACCTTGTACTTTAGTGCAATACTCTTGTTTCTTGTTTGTTACTCTACAACTCATTGGTTTACTTAAACATTATTTTATCTAATTTTCTTCTATCATCATAATGTCGTTGAGCTCCAAATCTTATAGAATCAGAACGCTGCAAAAATACCATCAGCTAGGGATGATATTGCTGATTATGATTTTTTCCTCAGCAGAAAGAGAAACTACTAAAAGTTTAATTCACGTTAAATATCTATACTATTATTTAAGAAGTAAATTTGCTTAGTTGTCATGTTCTCCTTGATTTTAGCTAAATTTATTTATTTATCTTATTTAAATAATTTCATATACAATTTATTATTTAATAAAAACGAATTTCTATTAATAATATTATACTTTTACAAAATAAGATAATTCTTATATATTATATTGCTATCTTTAAAATATATATTTTTATCATAGAAATTAAAAAATAAGTTACAATATTAATAATTAAATATAAAGAAAGCAATGCTGATTTATCAACTTCTCCATGGTTTTATACTTTGATTATTTATCATATTTTAATAATTTCATATATAATTTATTAAATAATAAAACGAATGTATATACTAATACTAGATTTTTTTTTAAAGAGATAATTCTTAAATATTAGATTTTTATCTTAAACATATATTTTTATTAGAAAATTTAAGTGAATTATCTAATTTGTAATTTCTCCATGATTTAGATAATTTAGATTATTTGTCATATTTTTAATAATTTCATATAAAATTTATTATAAAATAAAAACGATTTTTTATTAAAAGTTATATTTTCAGAAAAATAATATTTCTTATGTATTATATTGTTATCTTGAAAATATATTTTTTATTACAGAAATAAGAAATTAAGATAGAAACAAATATAATTAAAATAAATTAAAGCAACACATTTGTAAAAATATTTTGTTATGTGCGTGTTTTCATTTATAATTAATTTTAAAACATAAATCATAATTTATTATATTGGTTTGAATTAATAAAATATAGATTAATAATAAATTGTACGAAAATTATGCCCGCATGTGCGGGCAAAACACCTAGTTAATAAATAGACAAAAAGGTTATATGGTGTAGTGATTTTGTATCCAGCAACATGGGTTCGACTCCGTGTAGGATCTTTACTTTTTATATTATCTTTATCCACCTCACATACATATTGGAAGGCCCATTATGTCTACCAAGGCAAAATGTATTAAAAATATTTAGAAAATATTTACTAACCATTATTTTTTGGATTTTGTTAGATTTTCGGATGGTTACTCAAAACGTTGATAAAGATACATTCTACCAAATTTACCAAATAGCTTAACTTGTAGGTACGCTAATCCCACAAATTCAAATAAAACATAAAAATTTAGAAGATATATTATGTCAAGGTAGACGCGTGATTCTTTCGTATCTGTTATGTTCTACTAAACTTCAGAACAAAAAAGAAAAGACAGATATCATATTCTTCTTTCGTAGATGTAAATGTTTTTGGTGTATTACACATTCTACATTCTGTAAATCAATTTCTTGTTAGTAGATTGCACGTTCTGAACAACTGTAGATAGTAGATCTGATTTACTACTCCATTTATCCTATTTTGAAATTAATATTCCAAATATTTTTTTAATGTAAAAATATTGTTTATATATTCACATGCTTATCTATCTCATATTTTATATTTTTACTCAATTTTTTGCTTTGTAAATTTATTATTATGAACTTTTTATATACACAAAAAGGATAGTGAAAATCTAAAAGTGACAAAATTTGATATGATTCTAAGGGGATAATAGTTGTGTTTTTTTTGTTCCTTTTTGACGAATTTCCCTAATAAGGGCTCCACATAAATTATATTCACAAGAATTTGTCACACATTATAGTGCAGTTTTTCACATTATTTTTTCATGTCTTACTACATAAACCAAAATTTTCTTCTCAATATATTTAAAGTAGAAAAAGGATAACAATCCAACAAAACTTCCGTGTATTCTTAGTATTTATTTCGTTAGAGGATAAAGATAAGAGATACACAGAAAATCAACGTGGCTGGTACCATATAATATACTACTGTCAAGTGAAAGAGACGACTCTTTGATTAGTGGTAAGACCATTCAGTTTGTCAGCTTCTTTGGAAATGGCATGACGGCCATAGAAACATTTTAATCTGTTAAATGTGTCTTCTAACTCTGATTCTTCGTTTCCGATCGATATCCTCACCCAGTTCTTTGCTCCTAAAGCCACTCCTATTAAATTACAACAAAATATATTGATCATTAAAGATTAAACTTAAATATTGATACAATATGGATGAACATGATGATTATTACCCAAGTTTTTATATATTGTTAAATAGATCAATACCTGGTACGAGGACAAGACTCTCTTCAGAGACTAGCTTCGAGCAGAAGTCAAAATCACATTTGATAGTATCGAACATTGATGTGTCAAGCTGTAACTGCCAAAAAAATCCCGTGGAAACTAGTTAGTTATAAATCGATAGTGAAGTTATAATCCATATCCTAGATAATAGGATAAAATCGAGAATGAAGATCCAAAATGAGCTAAAGTGTCTATCCTAACGGCTAAATCCAAGAAAAGTAAGTACCCATAAGTAAGAACAAGATTCAGGTCTCTTGGGGCATATAAGACAAGGAATTTCCTTTAGCTTCTCACATGAAAGCTCTACGTTGCGTCTCATGGCTTTATTTTTCTTGTCGAAGAACTCTTTAGGTGTTTTTTCCAATATATCAGATAGTGCTTCCTACCAAAAATCCATAGAGATACAAACTCACATCATTTATAACTATCAAGAACCTATAGCTATAATATGATAATAAGAGAATACAAACCTGAAGAATAAATGAAGGTTGTGGAATTAAATCAAGACAATCCTCTATTGCTTGAACTACCTGGTGTCAACAAAATACCCAAAATGTTAATAAGACTATCATAGAGATGTGCACAACTGAACATATAAATTAAGGTTTATGTTATACACATTAACTCAAATATATTGGTGGTACTATATTAATAAATTTTCATCTATAAGATAAAATCCGTAAAGGAAGTCACTAACCCCTGTATGTTTAAGAATGCCATTAGAATCGTTCATGGCGATCCAGCCCAATCTCCAGCCGGGTACAACCCATCCTTTGGATATGGATCCAAGCGTAATCACCGGAGCTATTGATGCGAATATCCCCATTGGAACAAAGGGCCTGTCTCCATATACAATTTGGTGATATACTTCGTCGGATATCACCATTATACCGAGTTTCCTTGCCATGTTTGCAATCTAAATGTTGTTTATGTAAAAAATGTTAGTTTGTAGAATAAAAAAAAACTCTCATCTTATACATGTCACATAAGGCTATGTATATTATACAATAGAAAAACTTTACGTACGTTGTTAAGATGATCGTAGGTGTAGACGTTCCCACATGGATTGTTGGGGTTAATGAGAACCATGGCGACGGTATTCTTATCTGCAGCAGCCTCGAGTTGGTCGAGATCGATCTCAAAATCTCTTTCCGGTAGTAGATCGTATGTGCGAACCTTTACACCGCTACAAACGGCACGAGCATCATAGTGAGGATATCCTGGTCTTGGAAGCAAAATGTTGGCTTCCGGATTTCCGGCTAGAGAATCTATTACGATCTCTATCGCTTGGTTGCATCCGCCAGTAATATATACATTTTCCGGCCTTAGCTTAGTCGGAAGCTCACCATTTAGATAATCTGCCACGGCACTGAGAAAAATAGGTGACAGATTGATTAATGAACTATAGTATAATATTTTTTGTAACACTAGAAAAAAACATCTTAAGATCTTTTTTCATTTTTTGGAAAAATAAAAATGATTTTCAGACTAAACCTTCTAGCCTTGAAAATTCCTGGGCTAGGTGCATAAGAGTTGGCCATGCCGGAGCGGACAGCTGCAGCGACTGCTTCCTCCGCTTCGGGGCATGTTTTGAAGGTGTGAGTGATGGAGGGTAATATGGTCTTTCCATTGTTAAAGTTGCAGTTTTTAAACATTCCAAAGATAAGCTTTCTCAATGTTGCCGCAGCTGCAATACTTGTCGCGCCATTTCCTTTGAACCGCCAAACACTGTCGTTTGCGTTGCAGTTCTCATTACCGTTGCTCGCCATCGATTATCTAGATTTTGCGTTTAGATTCTTCTTTTAGCTTTTTAGGTAGGTTTTCTTTTAGCTATGAGTAAAAGTTTTGTGTTGTGGCTACTTTTTATTCATATCGAGCCTTTTATAGAAGACACATGAAGAATAATATTCTATGAAGCTGAAAGTATTTTAGTCGCATAGTTAGTTAAATACATATATAACTAATTATTTTAGAAGTATTCCCACACGATTATATTATATCCATATGTTATTTATATTTGTTATAATAATCTTTTGGTTTATTGGTTGTAATGTAATATAATAAATATTTTTGTTGTTGATATCGTGTAAATAAAGTTAATAAACGTGTGCATTGTCTTACTTTAAACAGATGCCGACCGTGACAAAGAAAAAAAAAACAGAGGCCGTCTATTATTGACTAGTGAGCATCTATTCTATTAATTTTGAATCATCATGCAAAGTAGGGCTGGGCAATCGGGGTCCCAATCGGGTTTCGATTCGGGTTCATTCGGGTTTCGGGTTTTCGGGTTCATGAATTTTAGCCCCATTCGGATATTATAAAAATTCGGGTCGGATTCGGTTCGGGTTTAGTCGGGTTCGGTTCGGGTTTAGTAACATGTCCAAGATCCAGTTGAACCCGAAATAGTTTCGGTTTCGGATACTAATCGGGTTATCGGTTCTAAAAATACTAATTTATACTCAATTAAACTCACTATATTTTCAATCATTTTATTAAATTTGTGTATTTAGCTTCTACAAACCATATTGTTCTCCTTCAAAATAAT